ACCACCGGGTTTCCTTCAGTCCTAGAGTTGATAGTCGTATGTTGAGTCCTTTTGATTTAGTTCATTCAGATGTTTGGGGTCCAATTAGAATTGAGTCCTACAATGGTTACAAATATTTTGTTATCTTTGTTGATAACTGTTCAAGAATGACATGGCTTTATTTAATGAAAGAAAGAAGTGAATTATTTTCCATTTTCCAAAAATTTCATGTTGAAATGCATACCCAATTTGGTGTTTCACTTAAAATTCTTCATTCTGACAATGATAGAGAGTATTTTCTTTCTTCCTTTTAGCAATACTTGGAACAACATGGTATAATTCATCAGACATCTTGTGCCCACATTCCTCAGCAAAATGGGGTGGTTGAGAGAAAGAACTGACATTTACTTGAAACAGCTCGGTCTCTTCTTCATCATATGAATGTTCCTAAGCGATTCTGGGGTGATGCAGTCCTTACTGCTTGTTTTCTCATTAATCACATGCCCACGTTTATTCTTGATGGTCGTTGTTCTCTATTCTTTACCTTGTTTCCTACTTTGTCTCCATACCCCTTGACTCCCAGGATCTTTGGGTGTGTGTGCTTTGTTCAAAATCTTGGTCCTGGTTTAGACAAGGTAGATGCTCACTCCATTAAATGTATCTTCATTGGCCAATCTAGGACCTAGAAAGGGTATAAATGTTACAATCCTATTACTCGAAAATCCTTTGTTTGCCCTGATGTTACATTTTTTGAATCAGTGTCATACTTCTCTGGTTCTGATATCCATCCTTTGCCTACGGAGGTTCCTCTTCCTCTTCCGGTTGATAATTCCATTCCGGTGGTTCCCCTTGTGCCTGAGTCTCCCCCGTTTCCATTGCAGGAGCATACTGAAAGACCACCAATTCGTCAAGTGTATACTCATCGACAGAGACCAGCGCTTCCACCACCTTCTACTCTGGCGGCAGATCCAACACCTTCCACAACTGAATTGGCTTCTGATCTTGACCTTCCTATTGCATTGCGGAAAGGTAAACGTAGCTGCACGCTACACCCCATATCCAATTATATTTCTGTATCTCACCTTTCTGCTTCCTATCGCTAGTTTATTACCTTGTTGTCCTCTGTATCCATACCTAAAGATGTTCAGGAGGCTCTTACATCGCCAGGGTGGTGAAAAGCTATGGAAGAGGAACTCTCTGCTCTTCATCACAATCATACATGGGAACTTACCACTCTTCCCCCAAGTGGAGAGTGGAATGCCTGAAAGCCCGTTTAGTTGCAAAAGGGTACTCTCAACTTTATGGTGTAGACTATGTCAAAACCTTTTCTCCAGTTGCAAAGATTGGCTCCGTACGTGTGTTGATTTCCTTAGCTGTCATGCATGATTGGCCTCTATTTCAGCTTGATATTAAAAATGCCTTTTTCCATGGGGATCTTCTAGAGGAGGTGTACATGGAGCAACCACCAGGGTTTGTTGCTCAGGGAGAGGATGGTAAGGTGTGTAAGCTCAAGAAGGCGATTTATGGGCTCAAAATAGTCTCCCCGTGCTTGGTTTGGCAAATTTAGTGAGGTGGTGAAAGAGTTTGGAATGAGACAATGTCAAGTTGATCATTCAATATTTAGATGACTCTGTGGCCGGGAAGATCTTGCTGGTAGTTTATGTGGCTGAGATAGTGTTAACTAGCAGTGATAGAGTTGGGATTGATAGATTGAAGACTTTCCTACAGGATCACTTTCAGACAAAAGATCTTGGGAAGTTGAAGTATTTCGTAGGTATAGAAGTTGCTAGATTAAAGCAATGCATAAACCTTTGTCAGTGGAAATATGTACTTGACTTGTTGGAAGAAACATGGTTGCTAGGTGCTAAACTAGCTGAAACTCCCATGGAACTAAATGTGAAGTTGGGAAGTGACACAGGTGAATTGTTCGATAACCCTGGAAGGTATTGAAGGCTAGTGGGAAAACTGAATTATCTAACTATCACTAGGCCTGATATCTCATTTGCTATCAGTGTGGTAAGCCATTTTATGCAGAGTCCTCGAGTACCTCACTGGGGTGCAGTTCTTAGGTTGTGCGGTATTTGAAGGGGGCTCCAGGTCGTGGGTTATTGTACAATCCAAGAGGTAATCTTGAAATAGTTGGATACACCGACGCAGACCGGCTGGATCTGTATCAGATAGAAGATCCACTACAGGTTATTGCACCTTTCTTGGAGGAAATCTTGTGACTTGGAAGAGCAAGAAGCAGAATGTGGTAGCAAGGAGTAGTGCAGAAGCAGAACACAGGGCCATGGCTCACACTGCATGTGAATTAGTGTGGTTGAAGAATTATTGCAGGAAATCGGGTTCTCAATAAGCAAACCCATGAAGCTATACTGTGACAATCAGGCTGCAATTCACATCTCATCCAACCCGGTTTTCCATGAGAGAACTAAACACATAGAGGTAGATTGTCACTTTGTAAGGGAAAATGTCATCAATGGTGTGATAAGGGCAGAGCATGTGAGAATAGGTGATCAATGGGTAGATCTGTTCACAAAAGGGTTGAGTTCAGGAAGAGCGAGCTACATATGTAACAAGCTGGGATTATATGATATATATTCTCCAGCTTGAGGGGGAGTGTTTGAGTTGACTAAACAGGGGTATTTCAGTCTTTTCCATATCAGTAATGTATGAGTTATATGCCTTCTGTCTAGACAAGGGCATTTCTGTCCTTGTACACTTATTTACCAGGTTTAAATATATGGTCGACTGGGTTAGACTCTTTGTCTTTTCAGTTCGACATTTTTCTCCTTTCTTCTTCTTCTTCTTCTTCTTCTTCTCCTCTCTCTCTTTTTCTCTCGCTTCTCAGTTTGGCTGAACACTAACAGCCTGTAGCCTTGTCAAATGACTTAGCTGATTGCAGTTCCCATACTAAGTGAAAAGTAAAGTTTATGTAGGAGAAAACTGCATACAGCTTGCCAAATGACTTGGCCGATTGCAGTCCTCTACAAAATGAAGAAAATAAATCATAAGTAGGAGAAGAAAACTGCCTACAGCCTTGTGAAATGACTTGGCTGATTGGAGTTCCCCACAAAAGAGAAATGAAGCATATGTGGGAGGAGGAAATTGCCTCAGCATTGTCAAATTACTTGGTTTATTGCAGTTCCCTACAAAGTGAAGAAAATAAATCATATGTAGGACTGCCTCGGAGAGAGCCCCCATTTTAGTCAGTGTTTTCTCATCTTATACAAGACATTCTTCATCAAATAACATTTGATTCTTAATCTTAAAATCACAAAATATCTCTATATATACAGGGCAAAAATTTTGGGCCCTTGCGTTAACTTGTTTAGGTGTGCCTCAAGGGGCTTGGTTGGAGGCGGGGGGCTGATCTTTAGAATTAGGAAACAAGATGTCTAACTGCACATTTACTACCTGAAGTAATGCAGTTGGGAGAGAAATAAACAGATTGAAAGTTTCACATGCTTGAATATTTTTTATATGTTATTATTGAGTTTGGGCCGATTTTATGTTATTGGGCCCAGCTTTGTTTTATTTTTTTTTATGTTATTCAGTTAGGAAGCTATTGGGCCTTAGGCCCATTAGTTTATGTTAATTTTAAGTTATGACTGTTCAGCTACTTAAAGTAGCCGCCCTACTAAGGGTATCTTTGTAATCTTTCATTCTTTTATTTAAGTATATAAATCAAGAGGGGTTGGCAGCCAGATTTATTCAAATTCTGGCAACATCCCACTCTCTTTTCTTCTTCTCTTTCTTTTCTCTTGCTGAAACTTTTCAGCTTCTACTACTTTTCTTCACAAAGCATATATCAGAATCAATTATCGGCAACTTCTACTGTTATGTTTGATTTTTTTATACATTTTCAATTTGATTATGTTTTATATGTTATGTTACGTTTATACATTTGAGTCAATAGGATTTTTAAAACATTAAGTTTTTTTTTTTTTTTTAAATCAAGTTTGTATTTTTTCTGAATTAATATTATTTTTAATATCATGTTGAAATTTTTGAAGTTTTTAAAAATTTTGTGCCTTGCCTTGCACCTTCTGCCTTAGGTGCAAAAAGTCCCTTGTGCTTTCTTGCACCTTGTACTTTAAAACACTATTCATGTCATCAGTGGCACCTCATCAATAAGAAAAGGTCATTCAGAATGCTGGTCCCAGCTATCCAGGACCATGAGAGGAATTCATTGGATACAGACCTAGCCTCCAGCATCTTTTGCATGAAGTGGCTTCTCTCAAATGTGAACCTGTTCTCATGGTTGTCAGCTCAAGGTTTTACCATCACTCCAAGCAATGGCCCATAGGCCCTAACCACACCTCACTGATAATAACCTATATTAAGCATGCTCAATCTTCTATTACTTTAGTGTTATCCACTACCACTTTCTGTTTTTTCTTTTTCTTTTTCTCTAAAATTTCTTTTCTTTTTGATGTTTAAAGGCTGAGCTTTTCTCCAGTGATCTAATTACACCCAAAATTTACCTCTTAAACTTGCAGTGTTGTTATCTCTGTTTCTAGATGAAGGTCTAACACATTCTTTCCCAATGTCAAGTTGCAGTAGAATAGCTGGTTTTCTTCATCAGTTTGACCTATCATGTATATTCCTCCTATGCTTCTATTTCTTCTTTTTGAGAAATTGTATTATTGCCCATGCTCTAGTTTTTGTTGAGATTCATGGAGTTCTTTGATGATATTTGTTCCATTTGAGTTTTTGCCGTGGATTCTTGGAACCTATCCCAGATGAAAGGATTTTACATGATTATTTTCCACAGGTCCTGGTCTGATGCTTCATGCTCATTCTAGGGCCTAATATGGCTTTAGAGAACTTGAATTGATGATCAGGATCCATGAATCCAGTGTCAAATGGATGGTGTAGGGTTTTGATGATGATGATGAAATATACACGATTTTAATGTCTTAATCATGTATGGTTTGCGGTATCTAACTGTCATTTATTCATTTAGGTCTTCTGAATACTTAAGCTAATCCACTAATGCTCTTTCAAAATGTATTCAGGGAAGTTGTCTGAATAAATCTGAATTGTCAAACTGGTTTGAAAGCAATCAATTGGACTGTTGCTCAGGGAAAGTTGTGGTAATTTGAATTCTTCTGGTCCATGTTGGAACCAATGAATCATTAGTTAGTTAAGCCTGTTAAACATCTGTAAGATCTTCCTGTTACAATGGCAGGTAAAACCAGCAAGGGCAGGGTCAAGCATTGGTGTCACTGTTGCTTATGGTGTTGATGATGCCCTTAAGAAAGCAAATGATATTATTTTAGAGGTATTCTTGAGTCTTTTGATATTCAACTGGGTGTTCCAGAAAGCAATAACCAATGAAGAAAAGACATGTTTGTAATACTGATTTGCTGTGTATTCGGCAGGGGATTGATCATAAAGTTCTTGTTGAAGTTTTTCTTGAAGGTGGAAGTGAATTTACTGCCATTGTCCTTGATGTTGGTTTTGGTGTTGATTGCCATCCCGTGGTTCTCCTCCCAACAGAGGTGCAAATATTTCAAGTTTTCTGCTTTGATTTCATTTCATTGCAATGTCAAACTATTTTCATTTATCGCTAATATTTAGTGTTGAAATGGATCATTCGGGGTTAAATTATTGTTCTTTGTACTTCTCTCGGTATGGGAAGCATTGAATTTCACAATAAGCTCTGTTACCAATCATTTACTTCTGCATTGTTGTGTTGTATATATCTACTTCTTTTAAATATTCAATGAAAGTTGTTACCAATCAAAAAGAAAAAAAGTCTAAAATCAGGTCCGAATGGCATAGCTGAATTGGAAAAGATGGGCAATAAATAAAGAAATTATGTGATCATGGTCATTCTTGTTGCTGCAGCTTGTGCTGAATAGTACAAATTAATTGCTTGTAACATGGAGACAATACATGTCATTAGGTTCACTTTATCCAATGGAAAGAGCAAATGCATCATTTTGTTTGTTACAATTGTTAACTGGATTTCCTCAGCTAGTAACTGGATTAGTTTAAATGTGCAAGGAATAACTACACAAGAGGAACTAGATGCAATACAAAGAGAAAATCCATAAACACCAACTCTTGGCAATACCCTTGATCTAAAAAATAAAATATATAAAAAAAACTTTTCAGCAGTTTGAATATGATAATTGATTCCTTTAATCCCTGATTGATAATATGGTAAATCAATTCTAGTTGTGTATCCAAAACCTTGTAACTTGGGTCAGTCTTAACCCAAAACTTGACTGGTTCAACCTGTTTTTAAGTTGTGTTGGCGAGTTTTTCTCATTGTTTGGAGAATCAGGTCCCAAATTTAAAACCAGTTTTGCATGGGGCATGGGCATGGAATCAGACTCTTATGCATATCTAGGAGTCTGAGTCGGCAAGAAGAAAAAACATGGATAATGGATACATCTATGGAAAAGTATGAACAATTAAAATAGTCTATATATTTTCAAATTCTAACCACATATACCTAGAAAAAAGGTTTGGAACTTTGTCATTATGTCTGTACCTATAATGGTTTTTAGAAAAATGGCATTCTTTGTGTATTTTTGCTATTCATTTATGATAAAATCAGCAAGTAGATGAAATGTTATGTTGAAGTGTCCATCAAGAACCATGGGATGTCTGAATGCAATACATGTCTGAATAGTCAGCAATTTTTGTTAGTTAGTTATGCCTTTGTTTTATTGATCCGAAACCCTTGCACAAAAGGAATTAGTCAGAAATTTTTGTTACCAATCTTACTGATAGAAGACAAATAATGTCAAAAATCTTAGTGTGTTGTTTAGAGTAGGTGTTATTTTCGTTTTTGGTACTTTTGGATGTCTTCAGTTTCACTTTTTTATGCTAATTTCCCAGAGTCAAAAACCATTTGATTTTCATGAATTGTATCGTTAGTTGTTTTTTCAGTTGGCTATCCAATGAGACCAAGATCATGTGAACCTGCCATGATTTAAGCAATTATGACCATTTTACTGATAAGAGTATCAGTTAATGATAGGATCTAGGTTTTAGAAATTTTGTTGTAGTTAGGATTTCTTTTGGGTCTTAAGTTAGAATTTTATTTCCTATAAATAGATTTATGAAAACATTGTAAAGAGAGAGGCCAGATATAGTGCTTTTGCAGGAAACTAAGCTGGCTGATTTTGACAGAAGGTGGGCAAGAAGTGTTTGGAGCTCTAGAGATATAAGTTGGATTGTAGTACCTTCTTGGGGAGCCTTTGGAGGACTAATCACAATGTGGAGGATTGAAGGGGTGAAATCCTTGGAAGAACTAATTGGTTGTTTCTCTTTCAGTGAAGTTTAAGAATGTGGGGGACGAATTTACTTGGGATTTGTCCAATGTCTATGACCCATGTAATTATAGAGATAGAGGGGAGTTGTGGGAGGAGAATTTTGACATTAGGGGTTTATGGGAAGGTCCTTGGTGTGTAGGGGGTGACTTTAATGTGATTAGATTCTTGAGCAAAAAAAATAATCCCAACCAACAAATCTCGACCAGCATGAGGAAGTTCGATGAGTTATTGATATTAGTGAGTTAAAAGAGATTCCACTACAACAGTCCTTGTTCACGTGGTCCAATTTACAGGCCTCCCCTGCATGTTCAAAATTGGATAGGTTCTTATTCGACATTGAGTGGAAGAACAGTAGGGAGGGCTAGTAGCTATGGATTTACCAAGGGTTACTTTAGATCATTGGCTAATTAGAATTGGAACATAGGATTTTCTAAGTGGCCCTACCTCATTTCGATTTGAAAATATGTGGCTCACCCATTTGGATTTTATCCATAAGGTGGGGGAATGGAGATAAGAATTGGGAGGTGTACATTGGAAAGGAGTAAGGTTTCATAGGGAAATTCAAAGGTTGAAGGGGAGAATCAAGGAGTGGAATAAAGAGCATTTTGGAAGATTTGGAGGAGAAAATTGAGAGGTGACATCCCAAATTGAGCAACTGGATGAAAAGGATAATTAGGGTTGATTAAGTGAAGATGATAGGAGGATGAGATGGAATCTGAAGGAGCTAGAGAAAATACACTAAAGAAATTTGTTGAAGGCAAAAGTCAAGGCATAAATGGATTGATGAGGGGGATGATAATACCAAGTTCTTCCATGTGATAGCAAATGGTAGAAGAAAGAATTTCATGGTGAAATTGGAAGTGAATGGAAAAATTTTGATTGATCAAGAGGAGATTGCGAAGTGTTTTGTGGATCACTTTAAGGCAATTTATTGAAGACAAGAAGGTAATAGGGTTATTGCGGAAGGGTTGGATTGGCCAAAGTTGGAGGATGATGTGGCAAGATCATTAGAGAGGGACTTTGAGGCAGAAGAAATTAGGAGGGTTATGCTCTCAATGGATAGATCTAAACTCGCAGGACCAAATGGTTTTACAATGGCACTATACCAAGGTTGTTATGAAATTATTAAATCTATCCTTTGGGTAGTTTTTAAGGAGTTTTCCAAAGAACATTTTATTAGCCCGGGTATCAATGCTACTTTCTTAGTCTTGATACCTAAAAGGGGGATCCTATTCAGTCATATAACTTTAGACCCATTAGTTTGGTGACTAACATTTACAAAATTTTGGTTAAAGTGCTTTTTTTTGTCAACTTAGTGGTTCGAACAAGAGAGCAAACAATCAAATCAGGGGTGTCAGGAGAATGAATTGACCCCCACCCCCAAAGAGCCCTTTATATACATAAATATATGTTCAATTACAAAAAAGCCCTTACGGGGCTAAAGAGAAGGAAAACAAAGAAATAAAAGAGTATATAAAATACAAGAGGGACCATGATAGTACAATACATCAAGAGGACTCTTCACACTCCCCCTCAAACTAATGCGAAGTCATTAACATCAGTTTTCTTACAAGAAATAGATGTCTAGATCTTGTCATGGCCTTAGTGAAAATGTAGCAATCTGCATATCTGAGGCGACATGAGGAAGTGAAATAGAACTAGCAAGGAACAAGTATCTAATAAAGTGGCAATCCACCTCAATATGCTTAGTCCTCTCAGGAAAGGATTAGAGGCAATCTTTATAGCACTGGTGTTGTTAGCATATAGAGGAATAAATGTAGAGAGAGGAACACCAATATCTTCAGAAAGTGATTGAAGCCAAACAATCTCACTACACATAGATGATAGTGCCCTATATTCGGCTTTTTTAGATGACTTAGAGACCGTTTGTTGTTTCTTGCATTTCTATGAGATGAAGGAATCATCCATAAAGACACACCACCCTGTAGTGGAACGCTTGGTGTCGGGGCAACCTGCTCAATTAACATCAGCATAGGCCCTTAATTGGATAGGAGGGGACTGAGAGAAGAATAGTCCCTTTGATAATGTACCACAAACAAATTGAACAATCCGATGGATAGTCAAATGGGGTTTACAAGGAGTAGAGAGTAGAGAGTAGAGACAGACTGACTAATGACTAGAGTTGCATGAGAGAGGTCAGGACGAGTAATAGTAAGATAGATGAGAGACCCCACAAGTTGTTGATAGGGCGTAGCATTAGGAAGTAAGGAACCTTCTGAGTTGGACAACTTTACAGAATCAGTAGGGAGGAAGGAGAACAAGGAAGCCCCTCTGACTACATAAGCATTATAGTCCCTCAAATTACTGACCAACAGCTCCCCTTAGGAGAAAAGGTTACTGCACCTGAACCTGTCATACAATCTCCCAGTCTTGAGACGACCCTAGCTCCTCTGTTACCAGTTTGTCATGTATGTTTCTTGTTCAGGGGATACTATTAAATTTTTGGAGGATTTCTGGATTGGGTCTCATCCTCTGAAGGATCTCTTCCCATCCCTATACTCAGTTTCCTTGTACAAAAACGAATTCAAATACTTCAAAGTGTGTGTTTTGATCCTGATAAGTCAGACAAGCATGTTTGGGCCCCTCACCCTAAGGGTCTGTTTTCTTGTGCTTCCTTCTTCAAGTCTCTTTGTAATTCTTCGCCCTCTCCTTTGTCTCCCTTGAAAGAGTTTTGGTGCAAACTCATTCCCCCTAAAATAAGAGCTTTTTGTTGGGAAGTAATTCATGGGAAAATTTATACTTTGGAAATGCTACAAAAGAGGAGACCCAATTTATATCTCTCTTTATACTGGTGTGTTTTGTGCAGATTTGATAACGAGAGTTTCTCTCACTTGCTGGTTTCTTGTTGTTTTTCTGCAGATATATGGAATTGGTTTTTTTCCTTTGTTTGGATGCAGGTGGTCCTTACCAGCGGAAGCTAACTTTCTGTTTGATCCTTCTACATTTACTTGACCAAAAAAGAGGGGAAGAATAATGTGGAGGTGTGTTGTTAGAGCAGCCTTGGTTTGGACCATTTGGGAAGAGAGGAATGCGAGAATTTTCTCTGAGAAGGAAAGAAGCAAGGGAGAAATAAGGGAGTATGTGATGTTTAGAGTGATCCATTGGATCAAATCTTTGAACCTGTTTTCTCAAATTTATCCTGAAAACTTACGGTGAAACTGGGAAGGTGTTGCAAGAAGCTCTTCTAGAAA